GGTTCGCTCTGAAGTTGCAGCCTGATTCCCGTACATCACCTAATAGCTATTCCAATCTCTTTTCCTAGATCTTATCAGCTGCGGCCGCGGCAGGTGTTGCGGTGGCCTTTGGGGCCCCCATCGGTGGTGTACTTTTTTCTCTGGAAGAAGCCAGCTATTACTTTCCCATGAAAACCATGTTCCGTTCCTTCTTCTGTGCTATGGTCTCTGCGAACCTCGTTCGCATGATCAATCCCTACGGAGATGAGCACCAGGTTATGTTCCAGGTGGATTACAAGGCCCAGTGGCACATTGCTGAATTAATCCCGTTTGCTGTCCTCGGGATGCTTGGTGTAAGCCCATTTCGTCTTTGCGTTATCTGTACTTTTTGGCAGATTAAGCATTTCTATAGGGCGGAGTTTTTTTACTTGGGTAACTCACTCTGCTACTCCATCTCACAGCACCTACTTCTCTCTCTCCGTATAGTCGTCATTTTCCATCTACCGAAACGGAAAGCTTTTCATTAGCCTTCTACATTAAAAGCTTACCAAGTGAAGTTACAAAACTTTTTACCACGAAACATCATCCCAAGTGAATTTATTTTCTGGGCTAGTTCACTGGTCTTCGGCGGAGTATCTTTTAACTACCTGCGTAATTTAAATTTGCAAAATTACCACTCGCCTGAAAGACACTTTCCCAATGCCCAGTATGTGCATTCAATGAAAGCTAAAAAGTCTTCTCTTCTACTGTTTTGTCAGAAAAGTACTTTTTAATGTTTTCAGCTCAGGCGTAGTGTTTGCTAATGCTTATATATTTTAAAAGTTGAATGTGCGTTTTCTAAATTACCTTCAGTCCGTTGTCTATGATTCGGTAGGCCAGTTATCGAGCATACACGTGCTTTCGATAAATTCTCGTCGGACTAGTACATCTGTATAGAAACGGAATACAAGTTAAACATGTTCTAGTAGACAAATATACATTGCGCTGAATTCTTCCATAGGGATGTCCCTTGGTAGTTATGCAGCAGATAAAACGTCCAACGCTTTAGGGACTGCATCAGTGCACCCGATTATGCGGTATCACAGTTCCATACCTATGTACAATCCACTGAATTTACCCCTTCAAGCTTTACACAGACAACTATTCCTTTCCTTTAGTATCCATCGAACTTAGCTGGAAAAAAATACACATTACCTAGCTAGCCACTTCTTATAGAAGAGATGGCTTAAAAATAGACTTTCGATTATGTTCCTTACTGCTACGTTCTGCAGTCTTACAATCAAACCGTTTGCTTGAAATCGTTTCTTTTAACGAATTTACTCTCATACTTTATCATAATATCATACATTATTTAATATAACTGCACCTTTTCTGTTTTATATCTAAGCAGGCTGTGCTTGCACCTTTCTGGCTCCTACATTTCTTCCGCTTTTGTTGATAGGGAATTTTTGGTACCTTGTTCAACCGATCTAATCTGTACATGTGCCGTCTTCGCAAAACCACCTGGCTGGGAAAGTATCCCGCTCGTGAGGTGTTTATCGTCACCTTGGTAACAGCTATTTTCTCCTTCCCGTTGACCTACCTGCGCATGAATACCAGTGATTTGATTCGTTTGATGGTCAGCTCTTGTGGTCCAGGTGAATCCGGTTCCCTTTGGTAGGTCTTTGTTGCTTTGCTGACGTCCTTTTTTTTTGCCTTACTCCCCGGTCATGCTTATACTCACAAATCATTGCCATTGTTTGCGTAGAAATTAATCCCCTCGCCCAAATGAAGTACGCTGCGGGTGCGTTGTTCGACCAAAGCATAGATCACACTTGTTTACGATACGTGTTTTTCGGGCTGCGCCGAGCCAGCGCTCGTCATTAACTACTGTTATAATGTGTGTGGCCCGCCATAGACGGTTTTTACGTCACGTCTGACACTAAATTCGAAGTCATCACTAGTTGGTTGGCCGGCTCAGATGGCCAAATAGTGCATGTGAAAGTGAACGCGATACTAAAGATGGATCCTTCTTCGTTGGAACTCAGCGCGTTCCTCACAACAGTAAATTTAGCGCCCCGTAGTCTATCATAGTGCTATATCGGCCGTGGCTTGTAAGTTTGATATTTGAAGAGGCAGCCGGCTTCTAAGACATTCTCACCAGAGTGACACCCTCGAATGAAACCTGGTATATTTGAGTCAGAGTCCAGGTTGTGTGACATGCTGTGGTTTTAAACAAGTTGAAAGAACCATAGCCATCTAGTTGTCGAAGACGTTTATTTGGCAGTGGCGCGTGAGTTACTTGTTGAAATGATGACTTCCTAGTGTCTGGATTTGACATTGACTATCTCCATCCTCTCCTCTTTTATACTAGTTTAACTTTCCGGGGTTTTGCTGGACGGCGGGTGAAGCCCTATTTACACAAAGGTACCATCCAGCATATCACTTTGTACCCTTCTATAGGTAATCAATGTGATGGATTGGCACTTGGCACGCCTGAGTTTACCACCGTTGCTTGGTTATCCTAAGCTTCGTGGACCTCATTATTTCGCTGTTAGCCTGCACTGAGGACCTTTCCAATATCCACTTCCCCCCTTCTGGCTAATAACCAGGCACCGTCTTCCAGAATTTCTGTAAAAGTGTGTCGTTAATGTGAGATGATCGAGATGGGAGACGGCTTTTCTCTAGCCAGATAATTTCAACCCCATAGCTCACGACTGTCCGATGTATAGTCAGAAAAACTCTTGATTCTGTGGTTTTCCAATGCAGTACTTGGCCTCAAATGTTA